GTAAAATCATTTATCTAGGAGTATATCAAGTTTTAGCCGAGTATTATGAAATGAAATTAAACTATGTTGATAATCGCCTTTTAACTATTCCGTCACCGCACACGTATATGTTTAGTACAGTAAAATAGTTTTATTTTGTAAAAGACATACAAGTATTATTAGAGCTTTCTTACATTTTGACGAAATTTACAAACGAACGTAAAGGGAGCATGCATTACATTCCAATGATAAAACTTAGAGTCTATGTTTTATCCGATACATTGGTCTTGTATTCTGAATTTACTGCATCTTTTAAAATGTAAGTATATCGCAAATAAAAGACACATTGCATTCAATATTTGAAAATAAAGAAACATACTATTAGTTTCATATACACTTGCGTCCGATACGCTGCTTATGTTAAGCACGATTACACACATTTGCACGGGAATTGTTCAAGCATACTTTTTTAAATGTTAAATCAGAGACTTATTATACATTACTGGTTTAAACATTTTACATTTTAATGAAATTCTTGCAGTATCATACTTTAAATTCAACGACAAAATTCACAATTTTTGGGTTTTTTTTGGTTTTTTTTTATGCGTATGCTTCAATAATTAATATATGATTTTCATATAAGGGCATACGTTTATATGATTGGTCGAGAGGGCTTCCGATAGTGGCTCATGGCATTTTTTTATTCTTCGATAGACGACCTTGACCGAACTACTTTTTTGTAACCAATGTAAACAAGATAACGGCGACGTTATCAATATTTATTTTTTCTTCGCATAAATCGTAAAACCTAAAACATTCATTTGAATGATTATTAGATATTTTTGTAGTTTATCTTTTATCAGATAGCAAATTTCATGGAGTACTTTTTTTGCATGAACCAAAAAATAAATTCATGCGCCAGGCCAATTCAATGACACAAATATACAATTTACGTGTGATAGAGGTTACGAGTAGGGAAATTAAAATCCCTATTCTCCAATATGAAAGAATTATAATGACTAAACGCATTTTTAGATGAATTTATTTTTGTATAAACTGGACCAAGGACCAAGTCATTCTCAAACATAGCACGTTTTCACGATCATCAAAATGCGGTACCCAATCTTTCACGATCCGAAATATTAAATTTTGACAAATATTCCCATTTGTGCAAAGTTTCTGATTAGACTAGATTAAAATAACCTTCAGAACTATTTCAAACAGTAATATTTAACGCTATCTTTAAGAGAAAAGTAGTTTATGCATTCAAAATTTCAAAACAAAAATCCAGTTTGTTTACATTTTATTACTTTGAAATTTCGAGGAGCAATCTGCCTTTTGTTGTTTTGTAAAAACGATGTACTTTTAAACCTTGATTTCTCTCAGATACAGACCATACTGTTGAATCATTTTGACAGACAGTTTTATTTTTCCAGTATTTGTCATTATAATGCATAAATATTTAATTATATACTGACGTTGTATGTGTCTTCTCGATAAGATTCCCTTCACGATCTTATAGCAAATATTGCACGATCCAATCGCAATACTTGGCCACCATTACTTATTATTTCACGATAATTTGTCTCGATATACCGAACCACAGTCGTGTGATAGACAACCTTTTAATAATTCTATCCAAAATGAAGAGATGAAATCTTCTGATAACATATACAATTATTATTCTCATTTAAAAAAAATAAAAATAAAAGTACTTATATGAAATAAATGTTCCATTTTGACTTGTTTGTTTTAGCGATATACTCGTAATAAATGGAGAAATTTAACATCGTGAAATTTATCATATCTTGTATTTGTGGGACCGGTACCCGCACGCTCGTCATGTGGTTCTTGTTAACCTTCGTCAGATCCACTAGAGAACCAAATCTTAAAAAAGACATAAACTTATAAGTCTACACAGTAAATATCTTCTTTAAAATGTCTAAGGTCATCTTTACAGGAGCTAGGGAGTTAAAAGTTAAAGTTAGCCCAGGAATATTTTCAATTATGAACTTCAGTTTGTCAAAATATGTTCTGCAAATGATTTAAAGCGTGTTAGAACTGAGGAAACGGCAATTAGTATGATAAGATACTCTTGGAGATAATTCACATTATTCTTTTATGCATGTGCATTTTGTGTCTTCAAAGGGTATTTGAAGACACGGTTTTCTTCGGCATGATCGTGCTGTTCTGATCAGTTTATAACGTTGTATAAATCTTCGTACAAGTCCAGCGACTGATACAACACGTAGGTTATGAGTCGGGCAATGTCAGTTTCAACTTTGATATAAAATAAAGGGATGTGGTATGATTACCAATGAGATAACCATCGAAGCTTGCTTACAGTAACTGCTTTTAGTACAGTATAGTCTTCATTGTTTTTCTGGCGACGTGATTCTGTTGTCCTTATTAATACTTAGGTTATTGGGTTAATGAAGATGTAGACTACAGGCGATAGGTTTGATTTTTGTTTCAGTTTAACCTTCTATTTCTAAAATCTAAATACAAAGTGTAAGTCAACAAACTTGTTTTCAGGCCGGTGGTTGTGTAAAATTTTCCTATTTTCCAAAGAATGACATACTTTTTGTTATATAAATTTGGCAATAACATGTTTAGTTAGTATATCAGGATAAAGCTTCTTGTGGACATTTTTCCTGAAAGGAAAAGAAAAGGAATATAGAGGTTACCGCTCTTATTATATTGTACATTGACACTATGTCATTCGCTATTCATAGTAACCTCTCCTGAAAATACAATTTTCCAATTTTAAAAATTTAATTATTAAAAAGAAGTCTCTGTCTTTTTTGACAGCCATCTAATGTTTTCATGGTTTACCTACAAACATTTGATTTAATTTACGTCAAATTGTTCAGGACAAAGTACAGCAGATACAAATTTTACTATGCGAGTTATTATTATCAAACAGTGTTGTGTATTCACACAATTTTTATAAAAGTTACACCTTGTTGACATCATTTTACCTGTACATCAGGATGTAAGATAAAAAGGTACAATTGATCAAGAAATGAACACGTAAGTTTTACCATATATAGATGCATTAATTTAATACAAGGAGATGTGGGGATTTGTGTCAACATGGTCAATGAGACAACAACCCAACGACACATAAAAAGAGAGTAACTCATACAGTTTGTATACATGTGTCTGTGAAATATGTCAAGAGTCTACAAAGGTTGTGAATAATTATTATAAATAGAAACTAACAACGATTTGTGTTAGTCATATTTCCATCAGTCATAATATCAATAGTGCATATAAATAAAAATATATAAAATATAAAGGTTTGAACGTTGTTTTCAATTTAGACTTGAATATAAATATATATATATATATAATATATATATATATATAAATTGCCTAAAAATGTAATTTTAACACACTTTTTAGTATGTAAATATTAGAATGTTAAAAAAATTTACAATGCGATAAAAAAATAAACGCAATATTTCGCTAGACAAACTACCTTCATCAATCGTGCATCTATCCAGAATCGGATGTACATGAATTTCGCTGCCTTGTAAAGAATTCAAAATTCGGATGAAGTTCAAGATTATTTATTTATTTACAGAATTGGTGGTTGACGTTTGCAACGTCTAGTGGCCAATATTACAGGATATTATTATCAATCCACACTCAAATAGATTTGTATGTTATGTGTTGCTATTTATAGCCACTTATATATATATATATGTATATGTATAATTATATAGATCATTGCTATATGTACACGCAAAGAAGATTGTTATATATAAGTGTAACCAAATTATAGAAGACATTTAATGTGCTTTAAATTATGTAGTTCCAGCTTGCTTTTCTGTCAAATTTAAGCATTTCTTGATACGTTTTTTATATTGTTTCTTCTAGCCGTTTTTTTAATCACTAAATATTAGCACTATTTCAACTGATCTACATTTTATGACGGTTTAGTACCTGCTTGTTATACTTTTGTTGCAGCGAAATGCGGGAGATTTGTAGATATCTGTCTTACAAATGCTGAGGAAAATGCATTGTATATTCTTAAAATCAACATTTTGTCTCCATCTTCCTTATGGTCAATTTTCGTTGGGTTAAGGTATATATACATATTTTTGCTGATATTCCAAAATATACAAGGCGACCATCTAAGATCTTTTACTAGATTTCATACATTATTGTTTAAAGATCAAGTTACCAGAACTTTTGTTTTCAAATTGATTGATTTGATCCCTCTAAAATGTAAATTATCGCCCAATTACACTTAACGATACATGCTAAATGTTAATGAGACAGCAGCCCAGCGATACAAATACCAAAAAAAAAGAACTAGAGGACAACAAACAGTCGTCTATAAACAACAGGTCATGCAATGAATACTTCGCAGTGTTAAAAAGTGAATAAATTGAAGATTATTATACGTAAACAATCAATGATCTGCAATCAGCAAAATATTCTCCAAATGACAAAAACAACTTTAGGATATTGCATAAGACATATACATGTATGTCGTCATCAGGTTTAAGTAACTTTTCAAACAGTAAAAGTTAGTACAGAAAAAGTCGAACACAAATACGATAAAGCTTTAGCCTGAAATAAGTAATGGATCTTAGCAGTTTATTGATTGATTAATTGATAGGTGTTCAACGCTACTTCATTGGCTATATTGTGACGGTCAGCTTTAGTAGTGGGGGAAACCGGAGAGAACTGACAATGCTATTCACTTAAGTTGAAGTCGGAAGCACTAGTCATGTGCTGGGTATAGATTCACAAAGTGTTGACAAGCTAGTGGTAAAGTAGTTGAACTGCTTAGACCACCAAACCACCAAGGTAGCTCTAATCAGTAGTCCTATAACATAAGCCTTCGTAGGTTCATATCGTTTGCATTCGACGTTTTTTATCGAATATGTTTGTTAACTATCAATGCCAAACCAGGAAGTCTTATTGGAAGCAGATATTTTCTCGTAGCATTTTCAAAATGTATTACCCACTGCAAAAACTACTAAAAGTAATAGCCAGGCGCGTAGCAACCCGTACGCAAAAATGCAGTTGCGTACACATCGAAAATATTACAAAAATAAAATTATTGTAAATCTAGTAAGAATAAAACTAAAGTAATAGATTAAATTAAAAACTATCTTACAAACATGTTAATAATCACTTTGTAGCTATATTCCGTTCCTGAAATTACGTTTTATTTACGGAGCCAGCATCATGATTATGTTGCTGATGCAAACAATATAAATGATCCTCGAGGTGTCAGAAAACAATTCTATGCCTCCTTACCAAGTCCTGACATCTTTTCTGAAGATTTCAAAATAACTGACGAAATAAAATATGTCGTTCTAAAGAGACCATGGACAACGATTCATTCCCATGATTTTCATGTGAGGTATGTATAGTCTTAATTACATACGTCGTCATAACAGATTTGTTTAAACAGTCCAGTCTGACTTAAGTTTAACGGGGTTGATATAATTTTCGTGCATAGTGCTTGCCGTTTTTTTTTTTTTTTTTTTTTATTTTTATTTAAATTGACGATCATCGAGTTTTGACTTTTTTTTTATTTTTTTACGTTCGGTTGTGCAAGACGGGTGCCTCGTTCAAAGTGTTTCCCCAACTTAATTATACGTGCTTCGAGATTAAAAGTGCTTATTTTCCATGCTTCGAGATTTAAAGTGCTTGTATTCCATGCTTGGTAAAATTAAAAGACTATCGTTTAGGAAGTTAATAAAAAGAAATCGGAAATAATTTGATGATTTTCCTTATAGATTTGATTCATATGTCGGGACATAAAACGTATATATTATATACTTGCCAGTTAGAGGTTTCCAACCTATGATATGCGTTCATTATAGTACTTTTTATCAACGTTCATGGACGAAATTATTTCACGTTCACCGTGAAATTGTTATTCCTTCTTTGTATTTAACGTTTTTTCCGTGCAAGTACCACCCTTTACCACCCCTTTTAACCTAAACTAACTAACAACGAATATTCTTTTAATTTAATTTAATTAAGCTCAACCGAATACACATTAGAAAATACAAATTCATAAGCCAACTGTACTTGTTTGTTTTTCTCTAATTAATATTTTGTTTTTTTCAATTTTTTTTTTCAAAAGTTGACTTGTTACTCATGAAAATAAGATTTCGGTGAGGTCATTTTAAGTCCCAGGAAGTTGCGAGAATGCAGGTGCAGGAATTTGCACCTTTTACCCAGAACTTGCCCGAAACCCCCTGCCGTTTGACTTCCTCCTTCGGCATTGAGTACACATCATATTGGCCTAGCTACGCCCCTCATAGCAGCAATCTTAAAATAAATGAAAATAATCTCTTACCGCATTTATATTGCAAAATTATGTTCCTAATCCGGCCATCCATTTTTATCCTTAGTTGACAAACATTTTTCATCTCGCCATTTTACTTTAAAAAAATGTGCCGATTCTATATTTCTAAGAAAACGTAAATAAAACGAATTTGACGGTAATATCTCAAGTGTGTTTTGTACACCATAAGATGATTGATTGTTGGTTGCTTTACGTCCAGTGGCAAATAGTTTATTCATGTTCAGGACAAGAACAAATTAACAATAGTCAGTACATAGTGATGAAATAATTAGATAGGTTCTGTAATAATAGTCGATCAGGATGAAGGTCGGGGAAATTTGGACTGCCACTGGAAATTGAGAGTATATTCAATTTGGATAGGGACAGAAATTTTGTTTTGAAACAGTCCACCTACGGACCCTTCAAATAGTTGATGCAAGTGTTCTTATCGTTCAGAGAGCATGGCGCTCTCTTTACACGAGACACGTCCAACTTTGACCTGACGTGACTGCGTACTTATACATCCCGCACAGCCAAACGGACTACCCACTTTGGAAATGTTTTATTGTCGGTCGGAGGCAGACCAAAGTGACCACATTCTATTCGTCAGTCACCCTTGGGGATTAAAACAAAGGACACACGAGCTATCCGACATTGAAACATGTACACTGCATCAATAAAATAATAAATGTTATCTTTGCATTTATTTCTATCCGATAAACAAATTGCTACTATTGGATTAAGTATTGAAATGAATTACAATTGACTGCCTGCATCATTCGTGGTCCAGCTTTGATAATAAAAAAAATATCCGATAAAAAACGTCGAAAGCAAACGATTATAACCTACGAAGGCTTATTTTATAGGACTAACGCATAAGTTGAATGAATTGAATGAAATTATGTCTTCAAAAGTTAACAAGGTTTTAATCGTAATTTATAAATAATGATTTTCCCGATAATTTACATAATGTTACTACCTTCATAATTCAAAACAGGATACAATATTTAAGTAAATTTCCGACTAGGCCTACACGAATGTTACGCGATGTAAATATTCTTATCTATAAAGGTAAATCATCTCTCAACTTAACATAAGTTTGGCGTGCCAATATGGCATCTAATTTGTTGATTTTTCTATTTGTAGTCGTTCTATTTTTGTTCATACAAAAGTTCACATGTTGCTGACGGGAATGAACACTGGATATGCCATATATGTATGGAGGGACGGTTATGACCCAACGATACCCGGATGTAGCGAAAGTGACTTTCTAAACTGGGATAAACATTCAAAATGCTTTACACATACCTGGGCTAGTCATAGCATTAGACAATGGCTATGGAGCACATGTAAAGTCCAAGGAAGAGAAATTCGAAAGATATTTCTTGCAGACGTTCATCATAAATTGCGTGATGGGTTTAATTCCAAATCGTGCGGACTTCCTGGAATTCAATTGATAAAACAAACATTAAATGAAGGTCATTCAACAGTGCTTGTGCTCCAGATCTATGCACTCTTTGCTGTTAGTGATATTGACGTATCAGAAAAGGATTTGATTAAGCACGTGGTCTGGTACAACGATCATTGTGCAGGTATTGTAAAAATGCTATACAAACGTATAGGAATCTGATATGTTCACAAATACACATTTCGCTGAACTAGTATATACATTTTCATTTAGGTGCCAGCTGAAGCCCGTTTCCGGGAGCGGGATTTTTCTCGCTGCGTTGAAGACCCATTGTTGACCTGGGCTGTTTTCTGCTCTTTGATCTGGTTGTTTTCGTTAACACATTCCCCATTTACATTCTCTTTTCTATATGCAGGTATACTCAAGCCACGTGACTAAAGCAAAGTTATATCTGACACATTTTACAATGTACACATGTAAATACAGACAACATTTAAACATCTAGGCATGGAAGCGACATATTTTTTTTTTTTTTTTTAAATATATGGTTTCCTTGCAACATGTGCAATGCCATACATAACAGAAGTTTTGACGCGATATATATTTACAAGAGATCTTACAATAGAAAAATACATCAAATAAATTTAGCATCACCGGTCTAAACTGTGATTTCAAGAAAAACAAATTGTCTTTACACAATCTATTGCTGACCTGTTTTCACATAGAATTTAAATCAAATCACATAATCTTATTCAAAAGCTCTGTTTCGATTAATCAGACTGTTTGTTTTTTTTTTTTTTTTATCTTTTTTCCACATTTGGCATCCATGCAGGGTATTCTGTAGCTTACTGTACGATATGGGTTTTGCTCATTGATCAAGGCCGTACGGTGACATCTTAAACAAAAAGTTGTCTCGTTGCCAATAAAACCATAACTTTTTATTTTTATATTGTTTACTGAATCTTTATGTTTTGTTTTTTTACATCTGTAAATACTTAGCTGCAAATGAAAAGTTTGATGGAGTTGCAGTCAACAATGAAGCATAATTGTATGCATCAATAAAATGTCACAGTGGACAATCAGAACAGACGCGGTACTTACAACACCTAAACATGATTAAAACGGAAAGCATGAAACAGATCCATGGTCGTTTACTTACCCATTACTCCGTCAGCTGGCACTGGGGACGCTGTGGTAGTACACAGAAAATGATTACGTTCAACGGGAAAACACAAGACGTAGTCAGACACATGATTGACATTTTCGATAGTATAGATGTTCAGGTAAAATTATATTTTGATTCACGATACTCTATTGGTCAAGATGTCGTATGTGTTCTGATTTTTACATGAACAACAACCGCATATTTTAAACGCAATTTCTTAAAAGAAAAACAAAACGAACAGAAACAAAACACAAAACTTCGAACCGATATATAGTCAGAGACATCCTAAATCTGATTTAGACTCAACTGTTACACTTTAAAAAGATAACAAGAAACTTTTAACAATTTCATCAGGTCTCTGTTGTCGATATCATTGGAAACTCTGTTGAAAAATACTTTAACATGTGTATTTAGCATGACTGTACGATCGCAAGCAAATGGTGAAAAGAGCAGTACTAATAACCTTCATATCTTGAGGTCATAAAGACATTTTTTTATCATATTGACAGATGTAACGGACCTCTTGGTTTGTTATTTTAAATAAATAAATTCATGCTATATTTTGTAGGTTGGTTACATCACGTTCCCCCAAATATCTGACCGAGCTAAATTGGCAGGATACCAGTATGCTTTAGATAACAGCAAGGAAGTGTTCGTCACACTCTACACCAATAAGGTCAGATATCTATATATATCACCTACAAACTGGTACATGACATCTTGTAATCTTCCGTCTATGTGTCTCTCCAGGCAATAATGTATTAAAAATAAAGCTAGCCAAGATTGGAAGAATTTTGCTATTCATTTTAGGACCCTTTTGTCTATATATAGATTCTTTCTTTTCTAAATATTTATACATCTATGAATTTCAAATGTTCAGGCTTGATCGTTCCTTGTGAAGGTAAATTATGTATTATAATGTGTTATTTTTATTTATAGTTTATTGATATTTTTTAAATTGTAAAAAAACTGTTTAATAATATTATATTTAGACGCTTTAATATTCAACTTTTACCCAGTTTCATTAACTTTGCCATTGTGTGAAACACTTGCGCGGGATATTGACCATACGTGTTGGTCATAAAGTGCTCCTTATTTGTGTTTTATCTGAAAGTTGTTGCTTCAGATTTTATGTTTTTTCTTTTAATTCTACTGCTATACCACTGGTTTTCTTTAGTTCTACTGCTATAACATTGGTTTTCTTTAATTCGACTGCTATACCATTGGTTTTCTTTAATTCTACTGCTATAACATTGGTTTTCTTTAATTCTACTGCTATAACATTGGTTTTCTTTAATTCTATTGCTATAACATTCAATTTGGTTTTCTTTCATTCTACTGCTATAACATTGGTTTTCTTTAATTCTACTGCTATAACATTGGTTTTCTTTAATTCTACTGCTTTAACATTGGTTTTCTTTAATTCTACTGCTATAACATTGGTTTTCTTTAATTCTACTGCTATAACATTGGTTTGCTTTAATTCTACTGCTATAACGTTGGTTTGCTTTAATTCTATTGCTATAACATTGGTTTTCTTTAATTCTACTGCTATAACATTGGTTTTCTTTAATTCCACTGCTATAACATTGGCTTGCTTTAATTCTACTGCTATAACATTGGTTTTCTTTATGTCTACTGCTATAACACAGTAACTGTTCTGATTACTTTTTCAGGGCGATCCTTGCCAGACAACTTTTTTTCCATCTCCTTGTAACAAAGGTAACCATACAGAAGCTGGAATGCTTGATGTCTTTGATAAGTTTAAGAAATATGGAATCGAGCACGCCCGTCCGTGCATTCACTATTTCAGAGGAATATATTCCAGTGGTGGGAATCGTGATTGGCCAATACATTGACATCAACAGACCCTGAACAACAGAGATCGAACTCAAGTATTCATAAAGATTCTGATATTACATGTCTATAGAAACGTATTTTTCCAACTCCTTGTTTGTCATGCAAATTTATCTTTGTATTTAGTTTCCTAAAATACGTTATTTAAGCGACAAGCACTGATAGGTCTTATGCGTTCTTAATCATAAGCCTGGTACTATCTTAACATTAATAGTTTGTAATGATTTAAAACATCTACTATTGTGATTTATAAAAATGGGTAGGGGATACCAAAGGGTACTTATTAGGAGAGGATACCAATGGGTAACTGTTGGGAGAGGATACCAATGGGTAATTGTTGGGAGAGGATACCAAAAGGTAATTGTTGGGAGAGGATACCAAAAGGAAATTGTTGGGAGAAGACACAAAAGGGTAATTGTTGAGAGAGGACACAAAAGGGTTATTGTTGAGAGAGGATACCAAAGGGTAATTGTTGGGAGAAGATACCAATGGATAATTGTTGGGAGAGGATACCAAAATGTAATTGTTGGGAGAGGATACCAAAGGGTTATTGTTGGGAGAGGATACCAATGGGTAATTGTTGGGAGAGGATACCAAAAGGTAATTGTTGGGAGAGGATACCAAAAGGAAATTGTTGGGGGAGGACACAAAAGGGTTATTGTTGAGAGAGGATACCAAAGGGTAATTGTTGGGAGAGGATACCAATGGATAATTGTTGGGAGAGGATACCAAAATGTAATTGTTGGGAGAGGATACCAAAGGGTTATTGTTGGGAGAGGATACCAAAGGGTAATTGTTGGGAGAGAATAACAAAGGGAAATTGCTAAAAGAGGATATCAAATCGTAATTTTCGGGAGAGGATACAAAAGTGTTATTGTTGTGAGAGGATACCAATGGATAATTGTTGGGAGAGGATCCCAAAAGGTAATTGTTGGGAGAGGATACCAAAGGGTTATTGTTGGGAGAGGATACCAAAGGGTAATTGTTGGGAGAGGATACCAATGGATAATTGTTGGGAGAGGATACCAAAAGGTAATTGTTTGGAGAGGATACCAAAAGGTAATTGTTGGGGGAGGACACAAAAGAGTTATTGTTGGGAGAGGATACCAAAGGGTAATTGTTGGGAGATGATACCAAAGGGTAATTGTTAGGGGGATGCTCAAGGGTAATTGGTGGAAGAGGATACATGTACCAAAGGGTTATTGTTGTGAGAGGCTACCAAAGGGTTATTGTTGGAAGAGGATACCAAAGGTAATTACTGAGAGAGGATAACAAATGGTAATTGGTGGGAGAGGATACCAAAAGGTAATTGTTGGGAGAGAATAACAAAGGGAAATTGCTAAAAGAGGATATCAAAGGGTAATTGTTGGGAGAGGATACAAAAGTGTTATTGTTGTGAGAGGATATCAAGAGGTAATTGTTGGGAGAAAATACCAAAGGGTCATCGGGGATGAAGATACCAAAGGGTAATTACTGTGAGAGGATACCAAAGGCTTATTGTTGTGAGAGGATACTTAAGGGGGAGATGACACTAAAGAGTAATAGTTGGGAGAGGATATAAAAGGGTAATTGTTTGAAGAGGATACCAAAGTGTTATTTTTGAAAGAGGAAACCAAAGGGTACTTGTTAGGAGAGGATACCAAAGAGTTATTGTTGGGAGAGAATGTAAAAGGGAAATTGTTGAGAGAGGATACCAAACGGTAATTGTTGGGAGAGGATAACAAAAGTTAATTGTTAGGAGAGGATACCAAAGGGTAATTTTTGGAAGAGGATTCCAAAGGGTAATTGTTTGAAGAGTGTACAAAAAGGTAATTGTTGGGAAAGGAAACCAAAGGGTAATTGTTGGAAGTGGATACAATAGGGTAATTGTTGGGAGAGGATACCAAAGGGTAGATGTTGGGAGAGGAAACCAAAGGGTAATTGTTGGAAGTGGATACAATAGGGTAATTGTTGGGAGAGTATACCAAAGGGTAATAGTCGGGAGAGGATACTAAAGGATAATTGTTGGCAGAGGACACCAAAGGGTAATTGTTTGGAGAGGATACTTAAGGGTTATAGTTGGGCGGGAATACAAAAGGGTAATTGTTGGGAGAGGTTACTAAAGGGTAATTGTTGGGAGAAAATACTAAAGGGTATTTGTTAGGAGAGAATACTTAAGGGTAATTGTTGGGAGAAGATACCAAAGGGTAATTATTGGGAGAGGATACCAAAGGGTTATTGTTGGGAGAAGATACCAAAAGGCAATTGTTGGGAGAGGATACTAAAGGGTAATTGTTGGAAAGGATATCAAAGGGTAATAGTTGGGACGGGATATCAAACGGTAATTGTTTGGAGAAGATACTAAAGGGTAATTGTTTGGAGAGGACTCAAAAGTGTAATAGTTGGGAGAGGATACTAAAGGGTAATTGTTTGAAGAGGATACCAAAGGGTTATTTTTGAGAGAGGAAACCAAAGGGTAATTGTTAGGAGAGGATACCAAAGAGTAATTGTTGGGAGAGAATGCCAGAGGTCATTGTTGGGAGAGGATACTCAAGGGTAATTGTTTGAAGAGGATACCAAAGGGTAATAATTGGGAGGGAATACTAAAGGGTAATTGTTTGGAGAGGTTGCTTAAGGTTAATTGTTGGGAGAAAAAACTAAAGGGTAATTGTTAGGATAGAATACTAAAGGTTAATTGTTGGTAGAAGATACTAAAGGATAATTGTTGGGGAGGATACCAAAGGGTTATTGTTGGAGAGGATAACAAAGGGTAGTAGTTGGGAAGAGGTATCAAACGGTAACTGTTTGGAGAGGATACCAAAGGGTTATTGTTTGGAGAGGATACAAAAGGGTAATTGTTGGGAGAGGATACCAAAGGGTCATTGTTTAAAACTATAAGACAAAGAAAGACAGACAACACTTTGACCAACAACAAAGACAAATTTCACTTCAAAAAAACTGAACACTTAGCAAGACGATGCCTTTTAAAAACCAAGAGGGTAATCAGAATCCACAAGTCCAATAAAAATGGAAAACACAATAAGAAAAGCAACGAAAAAACAAACAACCATTATACTAGAATCAAAACACTACATGGTAAACTTAAGATTGGGCACTATAGCACTTGTCTCTGAAAAAGTTAGCTATGTTTACCTTAATATAACACTCAAATGAATATAAGTTAACAGCCATATCGAGAACAAGTGTCTGTGATTGAGCAGCACAAACACCATCTAAACCAAGTGAATGATAGGGATCTGAAAATCAAATAATTGGATGTCTTTCTTTTTTCTTTCCAAACAACCAGAGACCACCAGATTCTGCAAACAAAAAGTATTCTAAATTCGAGTTATTATTTTTAATGTTCATTAAATTTCCCCCAACTATACAAACTGGCTATCCACTTGTTAATGGCAATAGTTTAATCGCCCCCTTTTATAGACTCTTCTTAATGAATTATTCTTCATTTATTCCAACGTCTATCAGTGAATGGAACAAACTTGATAATTCTATCCGTATCGTTGATACCTATCAAAGTTAAAACGCTCCTTGTTAATAATGAATAATATATACGAAACGAAGACTGCACCTGGATATTTTATGCATACATGCGCGGAAATTGAACGCAACTTTAACTCAGCTGCGTTTTTCAGTCTCATTTCTAAATAACGATCTATGTAAATCAAATACAAGAGTGCACACGCTGAAATGTCTCGCCTTCTTTACTAATCATTGATATTATGTTGATAGTCCTAAATATAAAGCTTTACTACAACTATCACATAAACTTAACATGATCCAAGAAAATGAGGTCAAGGTCATATAAACCAAAAAAGAAATACATGTACACCTTACAATCATTCAATACACTAAAAATAGTTGACCTATTGTTTATAGTTTCTAAGATACAGACTCAACCAAGAAAACCAAACATTGACCAATGAGCCATGAAAATGAGATTAAGGTCAGATGAACCAAGCCAGGCAGACATGTACAACTTGCAATCCTTCCATTCAACAAATATAGTTGACCTATTGCTTATAGTATTAGAAAAACAGACCAAAACACAAACACTTAACACTGAGCAATGAACCGTGAAAATGAGGTCAAGGTCAAATAAAACCTGCAAGACTGACATGTACATCATAAAATATTTCCATACACCAAATATAGATGACCTATTGCATATAGTATTAGAAAAAAATACCAAAACTCAAAAACTTAACCTTGACCACTGAACCATGAAACTGAGGTCAAGGTCAGAAGACACCTGCCAGCTAGCCATGTACACCTTACAATCATTCCATACACCAAATATAGTAGATCTATTGCATACAGTATAAGAAAAACAGACCAAAACACAAAAACTTAACTATAACCACTGAACCATGAAAATGAGGTCGAGGTCAGATGACACCTGCCAGTTGGGCATGTACACCTTACAGTCCTTCTATACACAGAATATACTAGACCTATTGCTTCTAGTATCTGATATATGGACTTGACCACCAAAACTTGACCTTGTTCACTGATCCATGAAACGAGGTCGAGGTCAAGTGAAAACTGTCTGACGGGCATGAGGACCTTGCAAGGTATGCACATACCAAATATAGTTATCCTATTACTCATAATAAGAGAGAAATTAACATTACAAAAAATCTTAACTTTTTTTTCAAGTAGTCACTGAACCATGAAAATGAGGTCAAGGACAATGGACATGTAACAGATGGAAACTTCGTAAGATAAGGCATCTATATACAAAGTATGAAGCATCGAGGTCTTCCACCTTCTAAAATATAAAGCTTTTAAGAAGCTAACGCCGCCGCCGCCGGATCACTATCCCTATGTCGAGCTTTCTGCGACAAAAGTCGCAGGCTCGACAATAATACATAGTTTAAATTCAGTATGTGGTGCTCCTCTGAGGATGCAATTCATTTCTTTTTTGATTGCAATAAATACACCGATATGGAGAACGATCTACTAAGAAAGATTCGTAGTTTTCAAGTGACAGCAAATATCTAGTTGCTCATTGAGGGTGGCCACAATCTAACAACATACGAGGAAAACTGTGAAATATTTTATGACGACTTTACTTCATAAAAAAATCAAAACGATTCCTAGTAGTATAATAGTATAATCAAATAAGACACGAGCAAACAAAATCATCGTGTCTACAGAATTCCATTGATAAGTAATTTCATTTTTTTTCAAATCTAATGTTTTTATATAACTTTCTTGTACCCCGTGTGTAATTTGATCTACTTATTAATACCTCAAGGCAGATCTACTCAACTGCGCATGCTTATAAAGGAGAAGACTAAATATAATTTGGTAAAACTTGTGAGCAAATACAACAGTTATAGACTAGTTTGTGTAAAATTCTGGTGACAAGTCGTAATCGGATATTTCATATCTACACAATAAAATACATAATAAGACAATCGATTTCACATAGTATCTGGTTCGTTAACTTTCTTGTATTTAAAACTTAATGTAACTTAAAAATAACTATTTTATCCAGAAGACTAATAGATTATGTAGTTACTCGTACGTCGTCATTTAAGTTAGTTTTTAATGGTGACTTTTGTCCGTCACTATTGTTGACTATATTACTGTTTTCTACATCACTATTTGTTGCAGTTAGTCTTTGGTGGGAACTATTGAAAGACTCGACGAAAATTACGTCTGTTACTTCAACGGAATCTTTTGAGCCGCCGTCGTTTGAAGAAATTACCACATTGTCGTTTTCAATGTCGCTGTGAATGAGTCTTGGAGTGGATGTATTCCCGTTTCTGTCGGTTATGACTTTACCAGCTGTGTCATCGATAGAGCCGACCGAGTTCGCTGTGTTTGTATTAAAACAAAACATTGTTAATGTTATCGTTAGAGCTGTGTCGGTTTATCATCGGTGCTTGTTCGGAAGGAATATTTTCGCTATCTTGGCTTAAGGTTATATCTTTAATATCGACACAAGTAGTGTCATAGACAGGGGAACAGTCGGGTGATTCAGTACTCTGTTTATTTGCTGTACAAGTTGAATCTCGTTTGCATTCGATGTTTTCTTTGGTCATCTTATTACTTAAACATACGTGTGAACAAAGTTGAATTGGTTGATAATTTTGGTGAATATCTTTAATATTGCGTTCTATTTCTCTACGATGGACGCTATTGCACGACACTTGATCGTTGTACAGAAGAGCATAGCCTGATGTTTTCTCGTCCCATACGTGGAGTGGACCACGAAATCCATATTTATCTGGTCTGCATAAACTGCCATAAGGCGTAAAACATCCTAAAAAGTTATAACCTAACCCGTCAGTATCGGGTATACGAAGACCTGGTTGTTTAAAAATTTCAGAAAGGCGCCATTTTTGAGTCTTTGTTACTTTCATATTGTCCATCTTTTGAATTCGTGTACATACTTTCTCAGCACGACTTAAACTTTTCTTCGGTTGAACATCTGTGACTGCTTCCAAGATGTGGCATCTATTAAGCGTTGCATCAGACTGTTTCAAATAGTTCATAGTACAACTAACAGCATGGTCTGCGAGCAGACGTACTTCCGCTTCCGATTTCAACACGGCGATTTGGTATTCAAACGCAAACCCTAATTCGGACGCAATATCTCCCAATGTTTCCATTAGGTCATGATTAGGAATATCTAGTAATTTACACTCTATTCGTGAAGCCCTTGCACGACGTACAATCTGATAAATTTGACGGAAAAGTCCTTTTATACTATATGCACCTTTCATCCGACATGCATTCTTTATTTTGTTTCTTTTTTCACTTACAATCATTTCAACTTCGTCTTCAAAAGTTGCACAGAAATTTACTGAACAGTTACTTAACGCTTCCGGAAGTGATGCTCCATTCTCATGAAGCAGTTTTGTATACTTCCGATGTTTTTGGACAAATCTTGCAACAAAACGGGTTACAAATACATTTCTGGTATGTTCGATTTCCGTTAGTGTTGGATATGGAGAAATTGTCCTTTTACTGATTGTCATAGCTTCTGCCATAACTCCTGTAAGAAAGAAAATGACAAATGAATACAATAATAACAATCGTTCAACATGAGAGGAAATGTAAAGGATGTCTTTATTTCATCTTACCTTCCGTTATACATGTATGCTCACATATAAAGTATTGAATCATTGTTAATTGAAAAGCTTGTACAGATTAGGGGAGGGTTTAGCACTCAAAAACATGGCAAACCCCGCCACATTATTTATGTGCCTGTCATAAGCCAGGTTCTTGTTACTCAACGTTTGCTGTCGGTTGCCGTCTACCATACATGTGTGTCGTTCATTATTGTTTTATAAGGGAGCTAAGATAAGGCATCTATATACAAAGTATGAAGCATCGAGGTCTTCCACCTTCTAAAATATAAAGCTTTTAAGAAGCTAACGCCGCCGCCGCCGGATCACTATCCCTATGTCGAGCTTTCTGCGACAAAAGTCGCAGGCTCGACAATAATACATAGTTTAAATTCAGTATGTGATGCTCCTCTGAGGATGCAATTCATTTCTTCTTTGATTGCAATAAATACACCGATATGGAGAACGATCTACTAAGAAAGATTCGTAGTTTTCAAGTGACAGCAAATATCTAGTTGCTCATTGAGGGTGGTCACAATCTAACAACATACGAGGAAAACTGTGAAATATTTTATGACGACTTTACTTCATCAAAAAATCAAAACGATTCCTAGTAGTATAATCAAATAAGACACGAGCAAACAAAATCATCGTGTCTACAGAATTCCATTGATAAGTAATTTCTTTTTTTTCAAATCTAATGTTTTTATATAACTTTCTTGTACCCCGTGTGTAATTTGATCTACTTATTAATACCTCAAGGCAGATCTACTCAACTGCGCATGCTTATAAAGGAGAAGACTAAATATAATTTGGTAAAACTTGTGAATTCATACATGTGTGTCGTTCATTATTGTTTTATAAGGGAGCTACCATTTGATTTTTATGGTGGGGCTAGGATGAAATTTCAAAAAAATAGGCAGGACAGAAGTTTTGATTAAAAAAAAAGGCAGGATGAGCAACCTGGTAACAAAAAAGGCAAGATGACAATTTGTGTAAAAAAATTCAGGATATACTAGCAAAAAAAAAAGGCAGGACCGAATAGAGTAAAAAATAAAAAGGCAGGACAGAGATTACAACTAAAAAAAAAAGCAGGACAAAATGTTTCATCCTAGCCCCCCCCCCCCCCCCATAAAAATTAAATGGTAGCTCCCTAAATCAGGTCGATGGTTTTCTCTATTGTATTGTTACCCACTAGTTAATCCTCCGAAACTAAATAAGTAAATAAGGATAAAGATTTCAAAGAGACTTTTGAAATTTTGTTTTTCTTATATTAATTTGAATATATGTTAATTGACTTCAAAATGACGAATTCAGAAATACGGGATATAACGTCACAGTCAAAATATAAATGATCTTTTTCATTATTCACTTTTTTAACTTGAATACTGAAACATAAACTATTTCATTATTCATTACTAAACGTTGAATAGTGAATAATGAACTATTTCATTATTCATTATTGAATTTTGAATAATGAAAAATGAATAATAAACGTACTTCAGTGCGGTTGTATTGTTTCATATTTTATCATACCGGATCCTTTATAGCTAACTATACGGTGTGAGGTTTTCCGATTAATTGTTGAAAGCCGCACAATGACCTGTAATAGTTCACATCTATGACATTAGTCTATGGATTTTCTTTGACGGTCTTAAGTTATGTCCAGATGAACAACAAAAAAATGCAGAAAAATTTCAGCGGTGTATGAATGACCCCTCTAACGCTTTGGTAGTCATGAAGAAGGGTCTGGATGGGGATCTACATTTCTGTTTCATTTAGTATCTGAGGCCATTTTTTCTCTTTTCTTTATCCTTTGTTGCCCCTTATTATCCTAACTCTTTGGTTGTTATAACGGAAGTCTAGATGATGATCTTAATTTCTTTACTGTCTTGGGCCAATCTTTCCTATTCTTTATCATTTTTGCTCCTTATTCTCTATTTTTGATATTTTAGCACCCCATTTTCTCTATTCTTAATTGTTTTATAGTCTTTTTTCTCTATACTTATCATTGTTGCCCCTTATTTTCCTAAGGCTTAGGTTGGCACAACAGAGGGTCCAGATGGGGGATCTTCATTTCTGTATTCTTTAATATTTTGGGTCATTTTTTTCTATTCTCTGTTCTTTATATTCAATCACTACATTTCTCTCTATTCTTCATTGTTTTAATTTGATCTTTTTTCTCTATTCTTCATCTTTTTGACCCATGTGTCTGTAGCGTTTGGCTCATTATTCAATATTCTGTAAACCCCATCCAGACCCTCATTCCGCCCACCACTGACATAAAACTTAACATTCAATATAGGAGAACGTTCTTTTATCTTCATCTGTTACATAAAACAACATTATTGTAATTAACAATATCTTTACCTATTTTCATACATTTCCATTGGTGCATGTTTCAAATATGTCCATGTCTCACAGGATATCAAAGAGTTTGATCAAACCAAAAGCAAATAAAAGCTTAAGAGAAGCTAAGATAAGACTTTTAGCCGAGTTAAAGCTGCCGTACGATAAAAAAAGAGCAGAATTAAAAATAAATAATAAAGAAATTAAGTCGGGAAAAAAAGCAGATAATGCATTGACCAAACAGAAAAACGCGGAAAAGACCAACAACAATTTATAAAACACTACTCAGAAAACTTAAGACTGGGGGTACGAACCCCACCGCAAACCAGGGGTTATCTCTAGTATAAAAGGGTAAGTAGAACCTACTCCACTGGTGTCACCCATCGTATTGCTAATGGTAAGTTATGCGTTCCAGGTCAATGAGTATTCTGGATAATTACACGATTTATATGCATGTTAGATTGTTCTCAAATTCTAATTCTTTATGAAATATTTCAGGAAAATGTCCACAACACTGGTTTATATTTAAACATTTGCAAAAAGGCATTATCAAACTAAATGTATTTTCTAGAATTTACAATTTATAGGACCGCTACGGTTGACCAAATCATCCGAAAATGGTGCTAAAAAGGACCATAATTACAATGTTTGATTTGAATAAGCTGAGTATTGAGTATACTTAATATTGTCATGATTATATCGTTTTTCGTTTTTATGCGTCAGATTTGTTTTGGATTCATTATAACCAAATATGAGTGATTACTGGCTAGTATGTTTCTTAGTCCGTCAACTGCTGTAATATGAGGTTTCAGATAAAAGAAGTCATGTCTGTATCAAAGGAGAGGTTTAATTGATTTGTTGTTTGATGTTAACGTTCGGTGGCAACTATTACATGCATATTAGAAATGTTATAAACCTAAATGCCAACTAAAAGTCTAGCACTACCAAGTTACAGTTCTCAGGAAAACATACTACTGGCCGTCCTAGATTCATGACTGACAAGTCTTTTCATGTGTCCCTATAATGCGCGTTCTCAGCGGAGAAGCATTAAACGCTTAATTAAGACTCATATTATCCTTCTTATAGTGTTAGTGCTTATTTCTACTTTCTCTTTTATTTTATCGTTTCATTTATCAACCTTCAAGACATATTGTATCTGTTCTTCTTTGTGTTGATAAGTTGCTGTCGAAAAGCTTATTCGATTTTTCACTTCCCTCGTCAAGTATATATATATATATATATATATACAAATGTGTATATACAATTCTAAATTGAAAACGACGTTCAAACCTATGATTGCGTTGGATAAAAACCGCAATTTTTATACGTGTGCATGCAAAACAAATTTCTTGGTAGAGGGGTCTAAATACAGCACAAACAACATTTTACAAAAGACCAAAAAAGTGAAAAAGTATATTTCAACAAAACGCATTTGACTAACAGGTCGAACAACTAATGTTCTTAAACCCTGCTGACTGTCATTGGCAATTGCCAAATAAACTGATCACAAGATGTAACAAAATGGATCTTTCAAAATTATTAATCTAATACTAAACAGAAAACAATACACTTGCGGAAAAGATAGTATACCGCAAACAAAAGGTGCAATAATTAGTACACCATATCCGGATTTCGACAATTAATGTCTCTTCAGTGATGTTAGGGATCGAAACAATATTTGGAAGGCCATAAAATTTACCTCAATTTAGGATAGACTCTGGAATTTTAAAGAGTCAAATGTGGATATATATATATATAATCGTCTCAAATTTAATCCAACAATGTTATATATATATATATATATATATTGAACACCTGTTTATCCATAGGCGGATCCAGGGGGTTGGGGCGGGCTCCCCCCCCCCCCCTTTTATGGGAAAAGCATGACTGGAGCAGGCCCTCTCTTAGGGCAGTCAGTAGGACCCCCTTATAAAAAATTTCTGGATCCGCCACTGTTAAAATATCAACTTAAAAATGTCAATACCCTAAAACGACTTGAGAGATCTATGAACCTTGATTTTTTTATTCAATACAAATTTAAACACGATACAATTTCTGCAATCTAATTATAATTGAATGTCTGGACCTTAAACAATACTACTTACATGTGTAAACTGTAAATTTATGCAATACACAGATATCGTAAATCCTTAATATGGCGTCAGATAAGAAAATGAAAATAGCCAAATAAAAATTTCCGAATTACGTGCATCTAATAATAAAATCAAATCAATGATCTTTATCAAATAGTGTGATTATGTCCTTGTTGATAACGCAGGTAAACAACATGCATACTAATTCAGTATTTGACATATGCAAATCATGATATGTTTTGTACACTTTTTTACATGTATAATCTATATTACTGAGGCCCCTCATGGGGGTGTCCAAGTAATCACATAATCACAATTGTGTTGCCAATATAATCACATATTCATTAACTTAGCCTTTTTTTTAAACAAGATAATTATAATCAAATACAGTCCCAGATTATCAAATAATCAAATAATCATGAAATATTTGGTCTGGTAATCAAATAATCACTTTAAAACGGCCAAGTAATCACATAATCAAAAACCCCATGAGGAGGCTCATTACTGCATTCCATGTTGCAGTTCTTAAGTAAACATTTCAATATACCAGTGTATGATAGACCTGAGGACTTTGTTATAATTTTTTTTCAATAATAATATGTTCTATTGTGTCATTAGTCATCTAGTAATTATTTGATATCAGGTGAAGGTTCAAATTTAAAACATTCCAAAGATAAATGTACATAATCATCAGTTATGGATTCTGGAGGCGTACAGGGCGTTAACATAAAATCGTTGAAAAAAACTATTACAAATTTTGTAATTTACTACAATTAATAAATAGCGCGCGGCAATGACACACTTGACTTTTCATAGAATCAAATAATCGTGGAAAAATAAGAGGGGAACCGATCATGCATTGTAAGATCATATTTTAAATATATTGAATAAACATATATATAATCACAGGTGCGAGACGAGATTTTTTTATATATATCATGTATATAGTCATAGGTTTGAACGTTGTTTTCAATATAGACTTGTTTATATTTTTTCGTTTGGGCTTGTATTATATTTGCCTTCGGGTTTATATGATCCGTTCATCCTATTTCGACTCTTAAAATTCAAGAGTCTATCCTAAATTGAGGTAAATTATATGGCCTTCCAAATACTGTTTCGATTCCTAACATCACTGAAGAGACATTAATTGTCGAAATCCGGATATGGTGTACATATTTTTGCACCTTTTGTTTGCAGTATACCATCTTTTCCGCAGGTTTATTGTTTTCTGTTTGGTATTAAATTAATAGTTACGATCCATTTTGTTACATTTGGTGATCGGTTTATTTGGCAATCGCCAATGGCAGTCAGCAGGGTTTAAGAAACTCCGTTGTTCGACCTGCTAGTCAAATGCGTTTTGTTAAAATATACTTTTTCACTCATTTGGTCTTTTGGAAAATGTTGTTTGTGCTGTATTTAGACCCCTCTACCAAGACATTTGTTTTGCATGCACACGTATATTTTTGGTTTTTATCCAGGTTTGAACGTTGTTTTTAATTTAGACTTGTTCATGTATATAGTCGATATAAAACAGTCTTTGGTTAAACATGTTACACTTGATTTACAATAAATGTCACAAAATCACCATCAAATTGATTATAGAACTGTTATGAAAATGTTCTTGAGATACAATGTTACTATATATATAACATGTATTACAAGTGATAGTAAAGAAATCAATCAACTTACTTGTGTTGTACACGCTAGTTCTCCAAGAAACACATGTTACCGTAAAACAATCAATGTAACAGTATGATATCATATACAATATGCATTATACATGTGTTATTAGTAATTTATGGCCTCATGACACGTTTTACAAAACAATTGTTTTTGCACACTCTTATGTGTGAAGATTGACAAGGTTGTCAACCTAGCTTATCCTGAGTCACACTTTACCTCGGAAATTGTATATTGATCTAAGCATCAGAAGCTGGATTATGGGGCTCTCGAGGGAGTCAAATATAAATAAATTTCATTATCGGCATGTTATTCTGTCGCTGCCACCACTGTGATGGTTATTGATTCCAGTGATGATAGAATCAAGATAACGTGAATTTATATCATCTAATAAGTCTTAATGTACAGAATAACCAATGTTCCTTTCACTTAAATAGTCAGTGTATCGGGGTCTACAATATAACACTTTCAATCGTTTTAGGGTTGTATGCACATTTAAATTGTTTTTTTTAATCACTTTTAAACAATATAAGAAATATAATTACCAATTAGCAATAAGTATATCACATCTAACAACAAATCACTGTATGCATCTTTACAGGGAAGAACTCAATAATTCTGTATATGATACTTATGGAAATGCCAAGTGTGAAGGATTTTCAAAATTATTTTCTTTTTGGAAATTAATCTTTACAATAACATTTAAGGAAGTGTTTGTTGGGCTTTATTTTAATCATTGATAGTTTGTTTCCTGTTTGACATATAACACCCTCTAATAATAAAGTAATAGAAAAGCTCTTCAAGAACCACTATATTATATAAGTGTGCATCTTCACATCAAAGTACAAATGTACTCTTACCATCCATATATTGCTCCATATACATGATATATTACCATATAAGGTATTGCAAACTGTCAAATCAAAAATATTTGTGTGCCTTTATAACTGCATTTTTTCAAGAATGGACGAAAAGGCGATTATTAATTCACTGCGATTTCAATAAGTGTTGGACATAAATAATGCTATAAAATTTTCCAATTTGATATTTTTTTTTTATTTTTTTTTATACCTATTCCGTCGCAATCTTCACAATAATAAAAACAGCACAACATTTTTTTAATTGACGGCATTTAGATATAAATATAAACTTACTGGGCATTGATTTGCATAAATGATCTAGTTCTGGTAAAAAAAACTTACAAATCAAGATGATGCAATAAAATTTTAATTCATATTTCCTTGTTATAATTCCCCCACAGATCAGAATAATATCCTCAAAGTTCGACTAAATCTTGTAAACACAATCATACTTACATTCTGCATCCTGCATCAAATATTCCAACATACAAATTAAAAAAAAATATAGTCTGATGTAGAAAGTTTAAATATATCGTAGGCAGTGCAAGAAATGGCTACCAATATCGAGTTTCTTGACTTGGGACAGGCATATGAACATGCAGTTTGGTTATACGAGCGAGTCTTTTGAGTTCTATGTCCAGTGGCAGATTCAGGCTTGGTTAAAGAAGGAGTACACCAGGTCCAACCTTTTTTATTTTTTAATTTTGTTGTCAAATCGGTAAAAACAATTTGCCTTGATGTGCTTGGCTCTATTTACCATTTTGAATAATTATGCCCCCCTTTTCCTCCAACCCTGAAACCTCATCACTTTCAACCTGAGAGAGTTGCAAATATTAAGAACGTTCTAGTCATTCTAGAAAATAAAATAGATATCAGTATAGAAATATATTACTCAATTCTTCAGCGTTAATATTATAGACAATTCCTGGATTATATTTTGAATCCTGAAAATGATGTGAACTAAGAGTTGACATGGTATCCTGGTCATAGCATGTTTTGTTGATAAAAAAAAATAATTGTCTTTGTTAAACATCCTAATCCAATGTCCCTTTTTTTTGTGATTGTGGAAGTGATGTTTTACAGTGGTAGGTAATCAACGATTATTTTTTATAGATAATAAATTTTGTATTTTCCTACACTGAGGCCACAATGTGTAGCATGATTTTTTTTAATGTCTATTTCTTTAAGCATTCATAATTCTTCAAGAGAATTAAAAACTACAAAAAAATTTTTTAGATATATTTCTTCAAAGAAATGAAAGTCTTATGAGTGGGTCTGCAGAATTTAAAACTATCAACACAGTGGACTGCATAAGGGTAGTCTTGCTTCCTCCACCAATACAAACTGGCCATATGGCTCGGGTTGCTAAAAGTGGCATGAAACACAAACATTCGTGAAGGTCAATTTTTTCCAGTGTAGACCTTTGCCGATAAACATGATTCATTAACTCACAAAAGATCATTCCTCTATGATTAGAAGTAGCTTAGATCTACACACTAACACAATACTTTAAGAAAGCCATTCATGTGTAAAACGAAGTTAAATGTCATCTTATTTTAGTTTATCACTTCATCACTAAACAGGACGTATCTAATAACAATTCATTCCTCCTCTAGGACTTGACGTTGCAGATCTTGACACAAAAATGAACTGAAACAGACTACCTTCTTTGCTTTTTGTTTTTTGCTGTGCATAAACTGATATCTTGTCATGGATGAATACCCAATATTCTTCCTTTTCTATTATACAAAACTAACCAATGAAAATGCTTAATGCCCTCTCAATATTTGTTGGATGAGAGCATGATTGATAGATTGTTAACGTTGGTGTTTAACTCCACTTACAGCACTAATGGCAATATCGTGCAGGTCAGTTTTTATTGGTTGGGGAAGCCAGAGTGCCCCTAGAGAACCATCAACCATCGGCAGAAAATTAATAATCCTAGTCAATTAAAATTGGAGTCCAACGCACCTGTCAGGTGTGGGGTTCGAACTCACTATCTCCATGTTAGGCTAGTGATACAGTATATGATCATAGACACATGGCCACCTAGGCCCATTGGATGAGAGGATAATAACTATCATTGTATTTTAGTATCCCCTATGAGTCATGTTATTGGTTCCAATGCTATTAGTTATCTGACAAGTCAAATTAGTAACTTAGATATATTATTGAATAAAGATCTCCCTCATTAAGATGGTTCAGACTGACCACTGTCTAAGTATAGCTAATTAATTCTTAATTTGAAGTTTATATAATGATTTCAGTGCATGCAATAAATGTTTTTAAGGAGTCTAGGTGACCAAGCGGGTTAAGAAGTTCACCCCCAGTGATTGACTTGCTATTCAACTCTGATTTTGTGAGTTTGAACCCTAATCATGTCAGTTCAGTGGTTCTCTCTGGGTTTTCCAGTTTCCTCAATCAATAAAAACAGGTCACCATGATATAGACAAGGTCACCATGATATAGCCAAAGTCACCATGATATAGCCAAGGTCACCATGATATAGCCAAAGTCACCATGATATAGCCAAGGTCACCATGATATAGCCAAGGTCACCATGATATAGCCAAAGTCACCATGATATAGCCAAGGTCACCATGATATAGCCAAAGTCACCATGATATAGCCAAGGTCACCATGATATAGCCAAAGTCACCATGATATAGCCAAAGTCACCATGATATAGCCAAGGTCACCATGATATAGCCACAGTCACCATGATATAGCCAAGGTCACCAAAAGTGGTGTTTAACACCAACAGTATAACAAACATTTTCCTTAATAATTCTTTAGTATTTAATATTGACGAAAAGTAAATAATGCATACTTAATGTTGGGAAAGCTCCCATCTTTTATTTCCTTACTCTCACAAATCCAGTTTTTTACAAATAAAAATACATGAAATAAAAAATTCTTAAATAACAACAAAAATAGAAAATATTTTACAGAACACCATACAAATTATATGGCAAATTGTCACAAATTGTTTGTAGGCATGAACACAAAACTTTATATATAAAAACACATTTATACATTCACTTCATTTGAACTTTGTTGGAAATTTGTCTCATTGGCAATCATACCACATCTCCTTATTTGTATATTACACTTTTATATATCATGTTTAAAGGGGCACTAGCTGTCAAATTCATGTTCACCGATTTGAATCAAATTCTCATATTTGATTGATAACAATGTAAAACAACTATCCAAATTATCAAAAGTCTAAAATAAACAATTAACAGGGCACGGGCATGAAAATACTTAGCTTCGTTTCATGTGTATTTTAGTCTAGACGCCATCTAATTAACTATTGAGTTGACCTCTCAAGTCATCCGATGACCATATAAGCGATGTAAACATAAATATAGATATAAATAGATTAAGCAAACTTGTGCTGTTGGATTTTTTTTCTAGGTCTATTTAATTTCATATTATAGATGAAAAATAAATGTTTATCATCGTTTTTACCTGTATAAGAATGATTTTTTGTGGATCGAATCAGTCAATTAATGATTTACCCTTGTTTTACTTTCAATGTTGACATTCTTTTCCTTTAAATAACTTTACACATACAATTCACATGTTATCCATCTCAAGCTAAGGGGTTAAATTGAAGTTCATATGAATACGGATGCAATGAGGTCGAATTATTCACTTGCAAGTGAATAATTCATAATCAATGTTTTTTTAGCTTATTTTGACAAAAATGAACCATACTGGCTGCTAAAAGCGAATTATTATTTCACTATTTCCATTTCATTAATGATTAAGCAAAAAAATAATATGTTAGATTTTTAGCTCACCTGGCCCAAAGGGCCAAGTGAGCTTTCCTCATCACTTGGCGTCCGTCGTCCGTCGTCGTCGTCGTTAACTTTTACAAAAATCTTCTCCTCTGAAACTACTTGGCCAAATTAAACCAAACTTGGCCACAATCATCATTGGGGTATCTAGTTTAAAAAGTGTGTCCGGTGACCTGGGCAACCAACCAAGATGGCCGCCATGGCTAAAAATAGAACATAGGGGTTAAATGTAGATTTTGGCTTATATCTCTGAAACCAAAGCATTTAGAGCAATCTGACATGGGATTAAATTGTTTATCAGGTCAAGATCTACCTGCCCTGAAATTTTCAGATGAATCTGACAACCCGTTGAATTGGTAATTTTAAGGAAATTTTGCCGTTTTTGGTTATTATCTTGAATATTATTATAGATAGAGATAAACCGTAAACAGAAATAATGATCAGCAAAGTAAGATCTACAAATAAGTCAACTTGACCAAAATGGTCAGTTGACCCCTTAAGGAGT